AATACCAGTGGCACAGTGTCCCAATGCATAGAACTAATTAGAACGCAAATAACAGATAACTTGTAAGGGAAAACCAATCAGGTTAACTTCTGACTTCTCTGAAGAAACATTACAGGCAAGAAGAGAATGGAGTAACATATTCAGCAGACTTCAAGACAGCAAATGCCAACCAAGAATACTTTACCCTGCAAAGCTCTCCTTCCTCTACGAAGAAAAAATATGGACCTTCTCAGACAAACAGAAACTCCAGAAATTCATTACAACTAACCCCCACTCCAAAAAATTCTACAGGAGGTCCTAAAGCTAAAACCAACAGAGGAATGAACAAGAAGAACAGAATAAAGTGAGGAATAAAATCACAAAAAAAGACAAACAAAATGGCAAACACAGATGCCAACATATCCATATTAACTCTAAATGTAAATGGATTAAATTCATCAGTAAAAAGACACAGAGTAGCACGCTGGATTAAAAAACAAAATCCAAACTTCTGCTGTCTCCAGGAAACACATTTAACCACAAAAGATAAACACAGATTGAAAGTAAAAGGTTGGAAAACAATCCTACAAGCAAATGGACCAAAAAGGAAGGCAGGAACTGCCATACTTATATCAGATGAAATAGACTTCAAATTAAAAAAAATAAAAAGAGACATAGATGGACACTCCATTATGATAAAGGGGACAATACATCAGGAAGATATAGCACTCATCAACAAATACTCACCAAATGGAGGGGCACCAAAATATATTAGATAATTATTATCAGTTCTGAAAACAGATATTAAAGAAAATACATATATAGTGGGAGACTTCAACACCCCACTCTCACCAATGGACAGATCAACAAGACAAAAATAAACAAAGACACTAGAGCCCTAAATAAAGACAAAGAACTCATGGACTTAACACACATCTATAGAACACTGCACCAAAAAAAATCTGAGTACACATTTTTCTCAAGTGCACATGGATCATTCTCCAGAATTGATCACATATTGGGCCACAAGACAAACATCAACAGATACATGAAAATCAAAATCATTCCAACTATCTTCTCTGATCATAAAGACATCAAGCTAGAAACAAATCATGAAAAGAAAACAAGGAACCTTCCCACTTCATGGAGATTGAAATCCACACTACTGGAAGACCACTGGGCTAATGAGGAGATCAAAGAAGAAATTAAAAAATACTTTGAGTTGAATGACAAGGAGGACACCACTTTCCAGAATGCATGGGATGCAGCTAAAGCAGTAATAAGAGGAAAATATATAGCAATTCAGGCTCACATCAACAAACAAGAAAGAACTCAAAGAAACAACCTAAATCTCGCATCTCAAAGAACTAGAAAAAGAACAACTAAAAACCCTAAAGCCAGTAGAAGAAAGGAAATTATAAAAATCAAGGCAGAAAAAAATGAATTAGAAATTAAAAAAAAATCCAAAAGATCAATGAAACCAAAAGTTGATTCTTGAAAAAGTAAACAAAATAGACAAACCTCTAGTAAGGCTCACAAAGAAAAAATGGGAGAAAACACGTATAAATAGGATTATAAATGAAAGAGGAGAAATCACAACAAACTCAGTAGAAATCAAAAGAGTAATCAGAGATTACTATGAACACTTAATACACAAACAAATTCAACAACCTAGAAGAGATGGACAAATTCCTAGAACGATATAATCATCCAAAGCTGGACAAAGAAGAAATAGAACAACTAAACAGACCAATTACAAGCAGCAAAATGGAAGCAATAATCAAGTCACTCCCCAAAAACAAAAGCCCAGGCCCAGACGGCTTCACAAATGAATTCTACCAAACATTCAGCAGTGAATTAGTGCCTATCCTACACAAACTCTTTCAAAAAATTGAAAAGGAAGGAATGCTACCAAATACGTTCTATGAAGTTAATACCAAAACCCAACAAAGACAGCACAAAAAAATAAAATTACAGGCCAATCTCCCTAATGAACACTGATGCAAAAATCCTCAATAAAATTTTAGCTATCAGAATCCCACAGTGTATCCATAAGATAATTCACCATGACCAAGTAGGATTTATTCCAGGGACACAAGGATGGTTCAACATCCAAAAATCAATCAATGTAATCCAACACATCAACAAAAAGAAATACAAAAACCATATGATAATATCTATAGATGCTGAGAAAGCATTTGACAAAGTACAACACCCATTTATGATAAATGCCCTTGAAATTCTCTGGATACAAAGAACATATCTCAACATCATAAAGGCCATCTATGACAAGCCCACAGCCAATATCATTCTCAATGATGAAAAGCTGAAAGTATTCCCATTAAGATCTGGAACAAAACAAGGATGTCCACTCTCACCACTGCTTTTCAATATAATACTGGAAGTCATAGCCAGAGCAAATAAGACAAGAGAAAGACATACAAGGAATCCAAATAGGCAAGGAAGAAGTCAAACTATCACTATTTGCAGACGATATGATAATATACATAGAGAACCCCAAAAACTCCACAGAAGAACTAATTAAACTAATCAATCAGTTTAGTAAAGTGGCAGGATACAAAACCAATGCACAAAAATCAGTAGCTTTTCTATACACAAACAATAAATCTGAAGAAGAAGAAATCAAGAAAACCATTCCTTTTATTATTAAAACCAAAAAAAATCAAATACTTGGGAATAAACCTAACAAAAGAGGTAAAGGACCTACACAAAGAAAACGATAAAACACTTTTAAAAGAAATAGAAGAAGACACAAAGAAATGGAAAGACATCCCCTGCTCATGGATCAGAAGAATTAACATTATCAAAATGGTCATCCTACCAAAAGCAATATACAGATTCAATGCTAGTCCCATTAAAATTTCAATGTCATTCTTCAAAGAAATAGAAAAATTATTGATGAAATTCGTATGGAGCCACCAAAAACCCCAAATAGCCAAAACCTTCCTGAAAAAAAAGAGAAGGGAATGGAGGCATCACTCTCCCAGATTTCAAACTACACTACAAACCATAATAATCAAAACTGCATGGTATTGGAACCAGAACAGACACGTGGACCAATGGAAAAGATTAGAAAAACCACAAATAAACCCACAGATCTATGGTCAACTAATCTTTGACAAAGGAGCAAAGAATATGCACTGGAGCAAAGAAAGCTTGTTCAATAAATGGTGCTGGGAATACTGGGTCGCTACATGTAAAAGAATGAAGCTTGACCACTACCTCACACCATGCACAAAACCAACTCAAAATGGATTAAAGAACTAGACATAAGACCTGAAACCATAAAATACATAGAAGGAAATATAGGCGAAACACTACATGACATGCACCTCAAAGACATCTTTACAGACACATCGCCCAAAGCAGTGATAGTGACGGCAAAGATAAACAGCTGGGACTACATCAAATTAAAGAGCTTCCGCACAGCAAAAGAGACAGTAACCAAAACAAAGAGAAACCCCACTGACTGGGAGAACATTTTTGCACACAACACTATCGATAAAGGACTGATCACAAAAATCTACAAAGAGCGGATGAAACTCTACAAAAACAAAGAAAATAATCCAGTCAAAAAATGGGTAGAAGAGCTAAAAAGAAACTTCCCCAAAGAGGAAATACAAATGGCCACCAGGCATATGAAAAAATGTTCAATGTCACTTGAAATCAGGGAAATGCAAATCAAAACTACCATGAGGTACCATCTTACACCAGTGAGAACGGCACATATTTTAAAAAAAAACTAGCAACAACAAATGTTGGCGAGGATGTGTAAAAGAAGGAACTCTCCTGCACTGCTGGTGGGAGTGCAAACTGGTCCAACCACTATGGAGAGCTGTGTGGAGATTCTTCAACCTACTAAAGATAGAGCTTCCATGTGATCCAGCAATTCCACTCCTAGGTATTTACCCAAAGGACACAGAAACATCAATTCCAAAGAGCACCTGCACCCCTATGTTTATAGCAGCACTGTTTACAATAGCTAAGCTTTGGAAACAACCCAAATGCCCAAAAATAGATGACTGGATCAAGAAGATGTGGTACATATACACCATGGAATATTACTCAGCATTCAAAAAAGATAAACACATGCAATTTGCAGCAGCACGGATGGAGCTGGAAGGGATCATGCTCAGCGAAATAAGGCAGAAAGAAAAAGAAAAGTACTGGATGGTCTCATCATAGCAGGAAATTAGAAAACCTAAATAAGGGACCTGGAAAAAGAATAACTATAGGAAAGAAAAAAATCAAAATCAACAAACAACCATGAACCAGAGACACACTTTGCCGGGGGGGAAGGAGGGATTGGGGTCAAAATCAGGGGGTTGCAATTGTATGGGGAATATAAAAAATAAAAAAATAAATTAAAAAAAAGTCTCCGCTCTTGAGCTTAAGGAATGTTTGTTTCCCCCATTTGTTAAATACACCACATTGTTGTTGTTCCCTGAGCCTGAGTCGTCGTGCGATTGTGTGTGGGGGTGAGGAGCCCACACACACGGACCTGCTCCCTAAGGGTCCTGTCCTCTATGCCTGCTGTAGCCCCCACAGCACACCCTCCCATCAGTGAGGACCAGTCTGCCGGCTGTGGTTTAGGCTCCGGGGAGAATGTGCTAGAGGCTTGTATGGACCCCTGTGCTCCCCCCACCTAGAGGACAGAGACAGTGGTTAATGCCAAACCGTGGGACACAGCTCGTCCATCGTGTCTCAGGGAGAGGCAGGTGCAGTTTTCTGACTATGAAGCAGAGTCTGCCCAGGCTCAAGGAAAGCAACGGTGCCACAGACCTGGGCTGATTTTAAATCAGCCACCAAGTGGGTCCATGACCATGGATTTCTGCCACAGGAGCACTGGGTCCCGCTCTGGGCCACCCAGTGAGTACCAGAGTGGCCCACCAGCCATGACAACACAGTCACTGTCCTTTATTTGACAGGTGATGATCGTGACACCATCCCATAGCCCTGGGCTGCTGGGTGGGGCCTGTTGGGAGTGGTTTCGTCTGCTCCCAAATTGGGGTGCACAAGTGCTGGTAAGTCGATGATATTATATGACCCACAGGAGCCAAGTTTTCATGGAGCCTTCTCTGAGGAGGGCCCACTTCTGGGAACAGGAACCCCTTTTGTGCCTTAGAACCCCTTCTGTAAGGATTGCACCTGTGGACTGGTCCTGGCTGCAATTTGTTCAGGAAACACAGGACATTACCCCACTCAGGGTGTCTCAAGTGTGACCTGGCACCATGGGGACCCGCCACCCCACCGGGGGGCGGCAGAGGGCGCTCTTCTGTGCACCGACCTGCTGTGACTAGGACACCGCTTGCCGATGCCAGCAGAGAACAGGAGCCAAGGACAGCAAGGACCAGTACAGAGTCTAGAGGTGAATCCATTTTCCACACCAGGGCCGATCCGGGTGACCGTCCACCCCTCTGTGTCCACACCTAAGACGAAAGAGCCAGTTCCCAAAGGGTTCACCAGCCTGCACTCAGGATCAGTAAGCACAGCCCAAGGGCAAGGACCCCTTCCTGTTCCAGCCACACGGTGGCGCTGGCGAGCTGGGAGGGACTGTGGGCCCCACCAGACCCATCAACAGGACAGGCATCGGGGTAACTTCCCCTGCCCCTCTCTAGGGGCACCCCAGGAATAGGGTGATGCATTAGGAAGATGCCCACACAGGACAGGGCTCAGGAGCACCTCATTTCTAGAAACTTGGGAGCAGGGTGCTCATTTATGCCAGGAGGCCTGATTCTTCGTATCATGACGAACTTGCAGAGATGGGTGGAGAGAGCATCCACCCCTTGGCCCCCAGGGAAGTTGTCCCCACACAGAGGCTCCACAGGGGTGAGTATGTCCTAGGGATGCTGTATGGAGCATCTCAGGTCTCTGCTCCTCCCAGAGCCCCAACAAAATCCCTGGGAAGAGGTGCTCTCCCCACCGGGTGTCTGCCACACCCGTAGTCTCCACAGTCACAGACACCCCCAACTCAGAGTCTGGCCCACTAGGAGGTGCCCAGAGATGCCATCAATTTGCCCTCACAGGAGGCTGGTCCTGATCCCCGGGCCCATGGGGGCCCACCTCAGGGTGGTTTGTACAGGAACATGCTGTGCCAGGTGGGCAATGAGTGCCCAAGCCCCAGATCCCTACAAAAGCTCTCACTCTTTTAGGTTCTTAGGCCCTCTACTGCACCCTCCTCTCCCGGGCCCTCTCCCGCCCCCACACAGTGAAGCTGGGGCTGCCCTCTCCTAGAGTGAGGGGCTTCTTTGCAAGGAAAGGATGGAGCCAAGTCTGTCTTTTGTGTTACAAGGATAGGCCCAGGGGCCCTGTGGACGCAGGGGCAGGGACTAGGGGTTCTGGCAATTGTATTCTTGATTTTATTGGAATTAGGTCTAAAATAGGTTCTGAGCGGGGCTCTTATTAGCAAAATTCACCATGAAAGTTAGAATGTGGACGTTTCAGCATCTTAGGGGCCTGGAGATCTTCCTCTGTGATTCCCCCTGCTGGTGGGGCAGACAGATCAGTCCTTTCCATGTGAATTTATCCAATTTCCCTCCCATGAATGAGCTTTTGGTGTCAGACCTAAAACTCTTCACCTAGTGCTGGATCCTGACGATGTTCCTTTGGGATCCTCTAAGAGTTTAGGGTTCTACATCTCCCATGTAAACCCGTGATCCACTTGCAGTTTCCCTTTGTGTGAGAGGCGAGGGGGTCAGTCCCAGTCCCCAGGGTGGGGCTGGGATGGAGCTGCAGGAGCTGGCAGGGCCCTCACTGGGGAGATGCAGCTGTACCCGAAATAACAGAATGAAGTGAGGACAGCTGGAATATACATGGGGTCATGGGGGACTCTCACTGGTGTGGACTGCAGACATGAAGTTCTGTCTATTAACTAATCACAGTATCTTCATGTTTCCCTGCACAGCTGACTGTTCGTCAAGAATCTACTCATCTGGGATGTTTGTTTGAACCTGATGATTTCAGAAACAACCACCGGAGTTTTTCAATAGAAAAGGGAGAAAATCAATACCCCGCCAAGGTAAATGGATGTGAAGACCCAACAGGGTTGCACTTACAAGGGAAATTAAACATTTGGTTTTGGATAGTAGTTTTATTAGTGAAGTTATATCTGCGCTATCAGTCAGAAATAAACTCTAAGAATGACCTTGTATTTCTACAGCCTCTAAGGGGAACACAATCTGCCTAAGAACAAGATGCTGCCAGAGGAGTTGTGACGAATCATGAAGATGAATGGATGGTCGGCAACGAAATCTTCCACTGGCTCCAGACTGCAGGTCCTGGAAACAATTGCTGTGGCAGCTGCTGCCTCTGTGCCCTCCTCACTCACCTCCACAAAGGACTTGTGAATAATTTTTGATACGAAAATATCTCTGGTTTCTGTCATGCCAGACAGATCAGCCTTGCTCCTGCTAAAGAGATCTTCCACACCCATGCGAGCCAGGTGGGGTTTGAGATCATAGGTCTCTTCCAGCTTGAATTTGGGCAAGTGGATGCGGACATCCGTATGACCCATATTCTCAGGCTTGGTCCACTCACACAGTTTTTCCAGAGTCAACTTCTTCTGGATCTGGAATTAGAATGTGCAAAGACAATACAATTTTATATAGACAAAAAAATATTAAAGCGTCATTTAAATAACAGACTCGGAACCTCATTGCTAATTTGTTTTGTTCATGTTTTGTCCCAGTACTTTCCAGCATTTGGGATAAAGACAGAGTAATGTCATCAAAGGCCCAAATAAGAGGGTTTCATCACATCCATCAAACAACCACCCACCAGTCTCTCCATCCACTCACCTGTCCATTGATATATGGCACGCCAGCCATACACACACCCAACCTTACATACCTACCCCCTCTCTACCTACTCGTCCATGACTTAACAACATCCTGCCATACTGGATCACTCTGATGGACCCTGAAGGCTATCATTACCATGAAGGCGATATTACATGTTAGCTAATTGGTTAGTGGTGTAAAGGAAAAATATAAAAGTTTTCTTCTACTTATTCTGTTGTATTTATTCTGAACCCCATTACTTATTCTGTAGTGATCTGTGAACCACACAGAGGTGAAATATCTCTAACATATTCAGCTCAGAGGTAAAAATAAATAAGATCCTAATTCCTTATCTAAAGTGGGATTCATTATGGCATTTACATTATAATATGGTCATTAGCATTAAATGAGTTGGGACATAGTTAGGGCTATGTAAATGTCAGATACCATATGACTTGGGGTTTAAAAAAACAATTTAATAAAACAACCCTCAGTCTGTAAAATTCTTAAGAGAGCTTGCTGAGCTGCCACTGACCAGCATTACATCTAGGGTTGGTCTTCACATGGTCCCAACCACATTCACTGACATTCCCTGAAATTTTAAACATAGGACTCCCAGCTGGTAAATGTGGTGGGTTAGATTACAAAAGATTGGGAAAGTGAGCGACATCAGTAAAGGCATAATAAGCAGTGACCACTCTGCACACATGGGAGGACTCACACAAGAAAGGAAAGAAAAGAACGAAATGCGGGAGCATCACCTTCTCCAGCCCTGTGGACTCGTCCTCCATGTCATCGGGCAGCAGGATGACCATGCTGAGCTCCCCACCCTTGTATGGCAGTTCCAGCACGCGGCACTGGAGCTCCAGGATGTAGCCAAATGGAAGATATTTCTTCTGGTACATCATCTTCACTATCTTTGTGTCTTTCTGAAAGGTTGGAGGACAAATCACTCATTATTATCTGCATTCTTGTAGAGCAAAGAGGACGTTTTCTCTTGTAGAGCAAAGAGACCGTGCATGGGCTCACCTTATTCAACCTGAATGGGGCGTCCCTGGTTTCCTCTTTTCTGAATTCATCCTGCCAGGTGCCTTTGAAGTAGATGGCATTCACCAGCACAAGCTTAGTCATGTGATCCACCATACCTGCAGCCAACAGTTCTGGAATCTTCCCTAAAAAAGGTACAGCAATTTTTTTTTTTTGTAACTCCACATCTCCAAACTCCAACTCTGTACTGATTTTGTTCAGCACTGAAATGCAATTCAAATATATCTTTTTCATTTCATTTCTATTTAACATGGTACTAAGGTAAGAACACCCTGGGCATATTTGACTGCACCAACTCACTAGTGTGATAGAATGACGCAACCATCCCCCAGGGTCCACACTTCGACACGAGTCTAACATGCTAACAGGTGGTAGACAAGAAAATGCCCCTTTTCTGGAGTGTGATCGCAAGAAGTCTTGTTAGTGAATGGCCATTCTGTTGCAGGACAAAAATATAAAGTCTTGCATGACAATGTTTTGAGTCACTAGTAAGCCAGTCCTTCTTCAAATCCGCTAGGTGGCAGCAACCTTCAAAATATGCAAAGGCAGGATGGTTCCTCCACTGAATTGCAGGCTCCATCAAGCAAACCCTCACACATGCCGGGTGTGTGTAGACGCCTGGTTTCACTCCATGACCGGGAGAAAGACAATGCCCAGCTGGACGCCACATCCACCCGCCACACCTGCCCCTAAGCCAGAATGCAGGAAAGAGGTTCATGACCCAGAAGTGTGTGAGCCCCGATTCACAATCTCAGGTGTATTAAATCGTTTGGACTTGGCCTGATTTCTCCTTCTATGCCCCCAATTTTTATTCCCTTTATTGTACAGGTAATATTAGCTTTAACTTTAAAATGTTGTGGGAGAAAATATTTAGCTGCTTTGGTAGAACCGTGTCCAAGTTTCCACTGCAAGGAATTTCTATGTTTGATATCTATTCAGCACTGGAAATGGGGGTACACCCCCTGAGTGAAGTCAGGAGCAGGAGGTAGGGAGAGGGTGTCGAGAGGGCACCCCATGCAGGTGGGAAGCTGAAGACACAGAGGCAGGACCCTGTGCTAGGACCACACTGTCTCCACCCTCTTACCTTCCGTTTGTCCTTTGACCCAGGCATTGATCACCTTCCTGGCACCTTCACAGGAGCCCTGGAAATCCACACTGGCCAGCTCAGCACCATACAGTTCCTGAGTTGACGCTAGGAACTCCTATTAAAAAAAAAGAAATGTTATGAATGACTCTTACTGTATACAGAAGTCGTTTTTTAAGATCTTTAGAAGCAATAGAAATTGACCTCAAAGGCATCCATTTCCTTATAATGTAAAGATTCTAACCATTTTTTTAATATGGGAAAAAATACATAACATGATATTATTCAATGTAACCATTTTTAAGTGTAAAGATCAGTAAGTTTAGCATTGTATAAAATACCCAATCTTTCCTAACACTCGTAAATGATGAACACTGACTGCACTTGGAAGCGAATGATGGTGTCACTCTTGCCTTAACCAGTCAGGACTACGCTCTTCACCGGGAAGAACAGCATGAAATCACAGCCCTTAAAGAGAACATCGTCTGTTACCTATTTCCATTCTTTATTTTTTCTGAATATTTATAAAAATTAGAAGTGACTTCTAAGACTTCATTTTGCTGGAGGAAAACGTGCATTGTCTTAAGAATTTTATAACATGAGGCAGAAAGTACTTACAGGGAGGAAATTATAGGTTTTCTCTCCGTATAACCTATTAGCCAGTTTCAGCACATAGGAGGCGTCAGGCTTGGTGACAGCAGCCATCAGACTCTGAAATCTGGAATGAATCTTCTCAGCTGCATCAAAATGAAGAGTCTAAAATGAAGAAAACATTTTCTATAAATATTTACTTTGAAATTATAAAGTGATTTCCAGGCGTTTGCTTCCATCAGAGGAATGTGTTGTCATTACTAAGCACTGAGGACCCCAGGTAGCACCTTCTGAGTCTTTCATTGGAGAACAAATGATGGAGAACCCTAAACTGACAGCTTTGTGAGACCTAATCATCCCACATTAGACACTGTTTCTATATCACTTTCTTGGGTTATAATTCTAGTTCCACAAATATGAGTGATTAGGTAAATAAATATTTCTACATGTCTTCCTTTTCCCCAAGAAAATAATAAATGGTGTGTTCACATGTACATACAACTCTAATTTTGCATCATTATATAATTTTATCAAATATAATTTTTCTAAAAGTGCTGAAAAATAAACAGTAAAAGCAGAAATCATCACCTCTGCAGGAACACAAAGATATTATGGGTTGAGGGGTTTTCTTTAACTACCCTTGAGCATCAGTAACTCACTTATATAAAAAACACTTCTTTAAACATAACATTTAGGAAATGTCTAATTCCCCATATATGAATTGCAAATCAAGAAGTATTTTATAGTTCTATGAGGCCTGAGCTGTGCCTGGCTTTTAAGACAGAGAAGAGCAAACCCACACAGTGCACAAGTCCAGGTATTCACAGAGTGGGATGCTTGCCTAGTGCTGTGAGCCATCTGTTTTAATGGAAACGGAGCGGAAGGCTCTTAAGGCCATTTTTGCTGAAGTCAGACAGCCCCTGGGTAGCCTCAGAATTAGAGGCTGATGTGACCTTTTAAGAAGCAAATCCAAATTAGTACCAGTTAGCGCTAGTGGAGTCTTGGAAACTTGAAAAGGCTTTTCTATCTGTGGTTCTGCAGATGCGGGTCTCATTCACTTAGAGATGTTTCCATTAAATGGGGTCATAGAGGCTTTGCAACTGGTAAGGTCCATCACCCTGACCCCAGGGCTGGCCGTCCTGGCTGCAGGTGAGTGTCAGGTGTGACTGGGGTGGCAAAAAGCCCTTCTCTGCGGCCACTCCTTTCCCTCACTGTCAGGGAGAGCCAGATCCCTCTCTCGGAAATAAGATACACCTGGCACAGGTGCTCCCCACACCTATAAGGGGAGCAGAAGGTAGGTATCACCCACCTTTCCTGCTGGAAAAGTCACCCAGGGCTTCTCCCTCCCCTGAAGCCACATGTCTCAGTCTCTCTGTTCTCTGAGGGCCTCCTGCCCACAGGGCCCAGGATATCAGAACCTACAGCCACACCCAGCACTGGGCACAGGCGGGGCCTCAGAATTCAGAATTCCCCTGTTTCCTTTTCCCCCTCAGCAAGCCAGTCCACCACTTTCACAGCAGTGCATTTCCGGTGTCATTCTGCTCAGAATTAATTTCCATGACAGGCATTCCCTGTTCCCAGCAGGTCTGCACATGCAAAACTGAACCGGGAAAGGCCGATTCCTGGAAAATAGGCTGAGGCCACAGAGCCTGGTAGCAGCCAGAACAGCAGAAGCCTGCATTGCCCCAGGGGTCCTGGCCTGCTGCTCCCCCATCCTCAGCCAATCACATCACAGAGCTGGCACCTAGTAGGTGCTCATTAAACAGGGGACAAAGGGAAAGCCCACAGCAAATGGACTGTGCCCGGGCTTGTCCTGAAAGTCTCCCCCACAGTGGGGCTCTGAGCCCAGAAACAGATTTTACATGTGCAGGGAGAGCCCCAAGGCCGGCTCTCCACATCCTTAGCACAGACACTGGCAGGGAAGGGGTCTCTCTCTGTGTCTGCTGACCTTGGACAACTGGGCCGCAGTGTTGCCTCTGGTCCCCAGGAAGACCATTGCCAGCGCCGAGGAGATGCTCAGGGGAGAGAAGAAGAGGTTCCCACCGGGGCTGTCTTCACTCAGGGTGCGGAGCAATTCCAGGGTGAAGGCAGAGTTGGCGGCTCTCAGCTGCTCCATGGCGAGGCTGCAACACAGACC